GGAAAACGCCTCCAAACACCGATTGCCTCGGGGCCTTGTGCCACAAGGTGTTGCACGCCCTCAGGGCCAAGCAAGAACATCAGCTTATTAAGCCCGTCCTGCATGCCTGGGGCACAGAGGAAAACTCCTCTATCCTCACAGAGGATCAGTTGAAACGATTCAGGTGTAGATTGACTACAAGTGCTACCAAGTGCAGCGGGGCTGCCGTAGCTTTGCGCTTGAGGAAGCGTCTTTAGGTCACCGACCTTTCGTTCTATACAAGAACCAAGAACTCATGCAGCCGATCGCAATCCGCTGCCTCTAAAAGCACTTAAAAGCCTTACCAAGGCAAACGTACACTTCTGATCAAGATCGAAACTGATTTTGATTTTGAATTTTAAGCTCAGATTGTTAAAATTTGCTGTGTTGTCTTGTATGTAAATTTCAACCAAATCGATTTATATACTGAAATTTACCGAAGATTCCTCTTATCGAGGTTTGAAATTGAGGTATTTTTATTCTGCGAGGTCACAGATTTAATTAGATTCTAATAATTTGACAGTTCCTAAAATACCATAATTTTGGTCCTTATGTTAATGTAATTTGAAAAAGTTTTATGCGCGCCAAAATCGCGCGCGCAATCCTTTCGCATTCCGCATCCGAAGCTTGAGCCCTCGGATCGAGCTCTGGGCACTTAATCTGAAAATAATCAATTAATCATACATATGACCTCAACCGATTATAATGATTCTGCTGCGGCGACGCTGAGGTGGGTCAAGGTACGCGGTATGCAGGTCTTTTGGCCCGCGTGCGTGTACAAGAGCTATTCAGCAGCCGTAGCGCATACACACGATGTGTGGTCGCTTCGGAATGAAAAACCCGTGCTGGATGCAGAAGATCGCATCGTCTATTTCTTTGGTGTGGGGCCGCGGGCCTGCCACGTGGTTGCGACGGGCTCATCGCCCAATTTGCAGCTCTGCGTGGCGCATGAAGACGACCTCTCTTTTGAGACGTGGACAACCGCTGACGAATTCCCCGTGCTCTGCGCCAAACATCAGCTACCAGATGAAACTGTGAAACGCGCGCAAAACAATCCTTGCTTCATGCGTGCCTGTGACGAGGCTGCAACATACGCACACGACGTGCACACAGATGCACAGGCCGCGGAACTTTTTGTGACATTACTGACCATGGCGAAGACGGCACACAAGACTGGCAAGGCCGTTGTGCTGCGAAAGCTCATTTCTTCGCCTCCAAAAGCCAATGTCAAGACCACTAAGAAATCCAAAGATGCGACTCCAGAGCGAAAGCCAACCGACATAGTCAAGCTGCTTATGGACCCTGGCATGACAGCTATAGTAACTAAATGCTGGCAAAAAATGATAGAGACTGGCTGGGAGACCATGACTCAAGGGGACGGACAGGTACTTTACAAAATGCCTGGCACAAGTTTCTTTGATTTTGTCCCGAACGTAAATCTCTTTGACTCGCTTGAGAAGGCTTGTGAAAGATTCTTGGGTGACTGGGTAAACATCACGACTGACGAAAGTGATCCCGAGCTGACAGAATCTCTGTGGCTTGTGGCAGTTGTCAATGGATGGGAAAGTATGGAGACGTCAAGCGAAACTTTGTACAAGAAGATAGACTTGTCATTTGACCAGTGGGTGCCCAATGTGACTATTTTTCGATCTAAATTTCAGGCTGTGGCCAACTACCTGAACGATTGTGGTCTTACAAGCTTCACAGACAACAACACATTGAAAAAGCAATTATCTGAGTCTGACGCTGCTGAGTCGGACGTTGAGATGGTAGAACCTGAGTTTGAGAATGAAGAGAAGCTAATCCAATCTATCGATGATAGCGAAGAATATGCGGAAGAGAACAAAGATGTAGAAGCAAATTCTTGTGTGGGAAAAGATGTCCGTTTTATGAATGCGGCAGGTGAATTGAGCGTGGCGAAGACGATTACTGAGGCTCCCACGAAGACACTTGAGAAGCAAGCCAAACTGGTGCAAAATGAGTCAAAACTAAGCAGGCCAAAGCAAGTGATTCCTCCTTTTAAAATGGCGTTTGGAAAACTAGAAAGCGAATTAAAGCGCCGGGGATGGTACTGGAAGAGCGGTGGTCTGCAGTGGAATTATTACCAGCCATACTGCAAGACAAAGGATAATAAAGCCCTTCAGCCCAATGTTGACTACTTCTGTGGCCGCGAAGAGCTTGAGGAGTATCTTAATCGCAGTGGCGAGTATGAACATATTTTTGCAAAATTGGAGGAAGACCACATTCGGCAATTTATTACTGATAGTGAAAATGAATCTGATCAAGGTGATGATTGCGATTCAAGCTGTTTGAATAGTCTGGTTCAAATGCAGACGAGCACGCCAATGCCAATCGTGAAATCGAAAGTAACGAGAACTTTTTCGAGAGGATACCCTAATAGATCAAAAAATACAAGTCGTTTTCGACGTGCTCGGTCCAAGTCCTCCGTGCGAGCACCATGTGGCTTATCATCCCAGACCACATTATCAGAGGTCAAGTTTGGTGAGATCTGGCGTATCCTTTCAGAAGATGGCTGGCACTATCGTTATGGCATCCTCGAGTGCGACTACTTTAAGCCACACTGCGCTACGATCAAAGACGGCTCACCAGGAGTTGATTACTTTCAGACAAAGGACCAACTAATCGAATACCTAAAAAGCAGTGGTTTATGGAATAAGACGGCTGCACGTGTGCGGGCTGAAGCTGCTATGGATACAAGCGATGGATCTCTGAGTGATAGCGATGCAGAGTCGACGACTTTTACTCGCAAGCGAAAACGCCATCAGAGCACCCCAGTTTCGCAGCATGATGACAAGAAAAATAATTTACATTGTACCCCTATTGAAAAAGAAATAGTGACGAATGATCTCTGTTGCAATGGTCAAGACACACAAACTACTTCGCCTGCTTTCATGGAAGTAAATGGCAAAGAAAGTAATGGTAGCGGCCGAAAGCCACTTAGAAACCTTGCGAACAGCTTTACACCTTCACCGAATACTGAACTAAAGAAGAAAAGTTTTCAGCGATCCAGCGTCAATGTTGATTCAACAGATATCGTAAAGGAGGCAACTCATATGGATTTGATTCGATGCGCAATTCAGAAGCTTACAGCAGCATATATTCCGACTAACTTCTGTCACCGTGAAGAAGAGTTTGACGATATCCGAAACTTTTTCCGTGATTGTTTCAGAGGAGATAAAAATTCTAGTCTGTATATCTCAGGTGCACCGGGATGCGGCAAGACGGCTCTATTTAAGGCGACTCAACCAGAAATTGAAGAAATTTTTCGGGTAAGCTAGACCTACCGTATCTGAGGCGTCAAAGGATTGGAAGTTATTGAACCTTTTTTTTTGTGTCAGGAATGCTGCCCTCAGCAAGCTCAGAAACCTGTTCATTGCCACGTAAACGCCATGACCCTTGCTGGCTCGTGTGCATTGTTCTGCAAACTCGCGAAGGATCTCACAAACGAATCATTTTCAAATGGGAATGAGGCATTTGAGGCCATCGAACGTGCGACAACTCGAGAACTTAAGTCTTCCAAAACAATGATTTTGATCTTAGACGAGATCGATATTCTATTGAAAAACAACCAAATCGAGGATGATCTGTGTAGGCTTTTTAAGCTTGCCCATAAAGCTACAAACAGCTTTATTCTCATTGGCATTGCCAACCAGGTGGACTTTACTGAGCGCCATATGCCAATGCTTCAGCAGCAAATGCCCGACTGCTCACCACGGGTCATCATTTTTAAGCCATATAACCACCAAACTATTGAGCAGATTTTGATTGATCGCCTTGGTGGAGAGACGGCGGCATCTAAACTCGTAAGCCCTCATGGTATCACGTTCCTGGCTCGGAAAATAGCTTCAACATCGGGCGACATACGACTAGCAGTGGACACGTGTCGTCGCGTTTTGCAGCACAAGCTGGATCAGACAGAAAAGGAAAATGCGGAGAACCCGTTGGATGATACTGGATTGGGACGCCCGCTCCCCTTAACGGATATGTTGCGTATCATAAAATACGCTCTGGAGTCAAAGAGTGCGCTTATTATTCGCTCGCTGCCGCGTAACTTGCAGATGATTTTATTCGCCGCAACTCGATTACTGCTCGTAGCGGCTAACCGTGCCACTGAGGATGAAAGCGAGACGGCGCCACTCTTGTGTGTTGACGAGCTTTACTCATGCTATTGTGAGGTGAGCAAGGACGCAGGAGTTTTCAAGCCATTGTCGATGCGTGACTTTAGGAATGCGCTTGACACGCTTGGTGAAGAGGGTCTTATCGCGGGACCAGAGCTACGAAAACACCTAGTTAAAGTGCTTTGTAGCACAAGCGAGCTACTTCAGAGCTTTCGCAAAGACGCTTTTCTCTCTCGGCTTGTTTAAATACTTGGCAAATTAATTGCGGTGCGGCTGCAATGCCTAGTGTATGTTAATACCGAGCGTATTATATTAGTACAGGATGTTTATGGTTTGCTCATTAGCTTCAACGACCTTATATTCTCAGATAACATTTTCTTGAGGCAAGCTTGAAAATTACAGTACATAGATGCTTAGTGATCACCGGGCGATGGTATCCAAGTACTGTAGTTTCTTTGCTTCTATCAATATTTATACTGTACCAAAGTTACCAGGTGCATCTGGATTGTTATCTGAACGGAGTTTGATGTATCCTTTGGCACATCCTTAAGAACTGTCATGAGTTGAGTTTGTAACAACTTGCGAGAAATCCCAGTCATTGAGTCTGTGATGCCCTTAAATTAATATCTATCAATACAATTACGGAATCTAAACCGTGAGGGAATAAGTTACAGAAAGGTACGGGATGTACGGTTCGGTGAGCCTTCTGAACATCAGCTAGATCCACACTTCTGTTCGTGTCGGAATCAGTTATGAAGCACAGAGCGAAGCCAGTGTTTCAGTGATGTATGTGTACTGGGCTTAGCAATGAGAATTGACTCGTTTTCCTTGCTGCCCTTGCGCTGCGTGCTCGTATCAGACGATGACCATGATCGCCTTCGAAACACCCGCGCATCTGAGTCTTGTAAGTTGAGCGATGACGACATCCCGCCAGTGACTGCCAATTGTTGCTCGGATGTACTTGACGTTAAACCAGGCTTAGTTCTAGCATTTCGAGATAAAAGTAGCTTGACGGTCTCGAATTGACTCATGCGACTGGCCTTGAGCAAAGGCGACTCGTTATTTACCGTCATGGCGTCTACGTCAGCTCCGTGATCAAGTAGATATTCTGCAACTGCTGTGTTGCCTCGTTGAGATGCAAGATGAAGTGCCGTGCACCGATCATGTGTCACCTCATCCACATGGACGTTGCCAACATCTAGTAGCAACTTCACACACGCGAGCTGGTTCTCCTGAGCAGCGATATGTAGTGGTGTCTCACCACTAGGACCCACAGCTGCGCACTTGGCTCCTTTCTCTATCAATGTCCGTACCACAAATTCTTGTCCACGAGCACAGGCCAAATATAGAGGTGGAACACCACTGCCGTCTTTTGCATGCACATCGGCACCAAGCTCGATTAATAACAGAGCAATCTCGGCGCTGCCGATCTTCACTGCCGCATGCAGCAGACTACTCTTTGACATCTTGTCGCAAGCATCAATCAAAAGCCGAGAGTCGTACATCGTTGTCAAGCACTTAACCAGGCGGTAATCTAAAACGTAAATAGCGTCGAGTGCACACTGTATCACATTTTGCTTGGAAATAGCGGTCTTGCCTTCACCCAAAAGAATGTAAATAAGCTTTGAGTTAGCCATTGCCGCTGCAGAGCATGCTTTCAGTAACAGCGAGCTTGAGATTAATGGAACATAGATGCGCTCGGTTACCACGGCTCCCTTCTTGTGGAAAAGCTGATGCACTGGATTGGCCTTCTTCTTGGCATCAGCATTAGCAAACTTAACAAGTGTGCGAATCACATCTTCATGGCCATGACGTGCAGCAATCACGACTGCTTCCTCATCAATTCGTGCGCCATACTGCATTAATAATTCCATGATGTCCGACTTGCGGCTCTTGCTGGCAATACCTAGGCAAGTCCGCTGCTTTTGCTTGTGTATATTATCAATACTACGTCTCCTGTGGTTGCGGATATGATTGGACAACGTCAGATTACCTCCAGCTACAGTGTTACCTGCGCTGTTTGGGTCGGCATGGCGCTTAAGCAGAAGCTTTACTATGTTAATGTCGCCTGCTTCACATGCTACTTCAAGTGGCGTGCGGCCACACGTACAACTAGAGTTGACGAGCTGAATGAGATTCGCACCAGAATAGAAACTCAACAGATGCTTAAGAGCCTGTCGATCTGCTCTCCTGCAAATGGCGTGAATGGATGGCGGCGTTTCCTTAACAATCTCGATAGGTTTCAAACATGTGCAGCTGCATGGCTTCTGAAGACTATGCTCGAACTCTTGCTCAGGCTCCATCTGCAAAAATGATACTTTTTTTTTTGCCTTGAAGTGCTTCTCCTTGCTATGTTCGCTACGAACGGTGCTAAGTTCCAAAGTCCTTGGCAACATGTTAACCGGCACAGAAGCTGATGTCGATCGGGTGCGCAGAATTGAAGTGGGACTTGAGTTGCATGGAAGTGATTCGAATGCTAAAGGCTCAGGTGCAGTGTGGAAGGCTTGACATAGCTCGAGACATTCGTGATCAAAATCCACACAGTGGCGTCGACGTGAAAGTTCGGCGCGACGGGACGCGGGAAGCATACCATTAGCTGCTTCAAAGTCGCGCATGGGTCGCAATTTTGCTTGTGGGGACGGTACGACGTTGAAAGCTTCGCTGGATACGAGCTGAAGCTGCATATTATCTATCTTTCTTGACTGGACTGTGTCCCACTTTTCCAGAAGAGCCGAATGAGGCAAAGATTGCGGTCTGCGTTGATGCAAGTGGGCGCTTCACTAGTGACGATTAGTTCGTTAACGCCTTTCGGGCTTAGAAAAATGCGAAGTGTGAAGGCCAGCGGCGACCAGTGTGAAGCTTACGCCAGGCCACAGTGTTGTATCTCGGATGGGATTATTGCATGGTTTTTGGAGTTTCGTTTCAGTGTGCAGTCTGGACCCGGAAAAGCGGCGGAGAGTGCTATGGGCAGTGACTAAACTGGAAATAAAATAGCCGATTATGACCCGTTTGAGTCTTTTCTCTCTCCGCAATAGCTGCTGGCCTAAACACTCGCACTGCGACGACTTGAAGGCGTCCATGCAGTACTGACCGGTAGACCAAGTGTAAAGAAAGCTAAGACAATTTGTGATATGCTAATGCTGCTGCCCGATTTCAGTGTCGTGACGCCTGTCTACGGCTATACATTTGTTTATGAAAGCTGCAAGATGGATTTGAAAAGAGGCGATCGCAATGCAAGAAAGTGAAAAACACTCACGCTATTTATAGTCAAAGCTGCTGTAGTTGCGCTTAATATCGTCACAGCTGCTTGCTGCAGGGCTCGCTGACATTATGCAAAGAGAGAGAAGCAGCCGTTTTGAGTCAAATGCTGTTGGTAGTGCGAGGTACATTTACTGCTGAACTGTGTTTGCTGACACGAGCATGGGCGTTCGCAATGTCGGGTGATCGAGTGCGGGAAGTACCTGACCGCTATGCTTGTTTATTTGTCGATTGACAGTAGCTCTGCACAACTATCACAAATGATTGTCCGTCGTTCGCCCGTTCTCCGTAGAAGACGTACACACATGAATCCCACCTTTAATGGTACATGCTGCTCACAATAAGACCATGCCATATGCACTTTACAGTACTACTTAAGGATTTCAGAAAGAGAGCGATTTATATGATCGATTGCTCAGTCATCGCTGATTTTATGCTCGGGGTTGCGAGTTCAGCATGCGGGACTTGATTCCGCACAACTACTGGCGTTAGACTGGCATTTTTTAAGCGTAAAATAACAGCAGCTGTTCACGTTAAGAAAAGCCACAAAAGAGTAACTTGACTATCGGTATCTCTCTTGATTGACCTGATTTTGGCATTACAGTATCGCGGGTATCATTTCTTTTCGATAGCTACGCAGAATTCACAGTCTAAGGAACAACACACCGACTCTACCGCTGTGCACAGCAACAAATTTTTCATAACAATTCCGCGTCCTGTCGCGAAACAGCTCACTCTATAATTGTGTCGTGAACACCACGCAGCTGGTATCGTTTTGGCAAAATAGAACTTGAAGTTCCACAAGTATATGTGTAATTAGAGTGTTAGCATGACGTAAACTTGTCAGCTGCCTAAATTCCGGTATACCGATATATGGAGTAAATTTTTATTTTACGCTATGACAACGAAGATTATATGGCCATGCCAAATACGTTCTGCAGTACGAAATGACTTCAGAGCCACTTTAGATGCTAGCCGTCCCAGGTTACTAATTTTGTAGCTGACTGCAGTTTGTTTAGACTCAACACTTTAAACTAAAGCAAGCCTGCAACAATTTGAGACGGAAGTTGAAGTTGCTTTTGCAAAAGGTAAGAATGACGACAGGAAGAAGAAACTGTACAACATTGATACCACCCCGATTCAAGGTTGAATTCGACATTGGGCAGCGTAATTAGAGTACAAGCACCTTCCGTGCAAACTAAGCGGTCCTTTCGTTGATATTGGGTGGTGACAGTGTTAGCTTAGGAACAAATTCTTACCGCTTATCAAACCAAGTTGCCCGCTTATCTGACGTTTCAAATCTTTGCTAAACCATGTCATCCTTCCATAACTTGTCAACCACACCTTTGTGTATTTGTGCAATATAACTGTACGAAAATAATAAGTCGTAATTGTGACCGATTTGTGAAATATATGTACTCAGTCACAATCTGGAAGGAGAGTACGAACTCGATCACTATGCATAAGTACTCGAGCCTCTTAGACCTGAGCTTTCTCGGCGCTAGGTACACAGCAAACCTTTGGTACAAGTAATCAATCACTATACCGAGTCATAAAAAAACTGCACCTTCTGTGAGGGTGATGGCTCAGTACTTGACCCCGGGACACATCTAGACACGCTGGAAGGCTCATGTCTATCGTTGGTCCCGAAAAGTGGACATTTACGAGCCAGATTGGGTAACTGTGTGCCTTAAGGCGATAGACAGCTCGAGAAAGGATAATGGGCCTCGCCGGATGCCTGTGGGAGAAAAGATTTTGCCCACCGCGGGACCGCTAACGTAATGTGCCAGCCGATTGAGGACCGATATGGCAAACATTTATTTTTATGGACGTAAGACGTTGAGATAGCCGTGAATATGTCCTTACTTCAGACAAAGCAACTGCGCGCCGCGCTTTCGGCCCCCAAGCTGGGAGGATGCGCGCAAAATGGACTTACATGCAGTACCGCTGTAACAAAGGCGCTTTCATCACAACGGGATGTGAAGCAACGTTATCCCGCCGCCAAACCCGGTTTATCGGGTGCTGTCGAAACTTAAGTCCACCCATCAAGGAGGGGGCGAGAACTAGAGAACTATGTAAAGGAGTTACAAACTTCAACCGCTGTAATGGCGTCTCTCGAAGGAGGCCTTTGAACAGGCGCGGCTCGCGCCGAAATCTTCTGC